CACTACAAATTATCGAGTCCTCTATGTAAAATTAACTTTCTGAGAAAAATGAATACGAGACATACTTTATTTTGTTTCGTATTGATTGATTATCCATTGTCAGAAATGTCATCATACAGAATGATCGAACTGCTTGTTGATCTTACATATAACCGACAAACAGCAGTAGTGCCTCCTAAATTTTGCAGAATTTTCCTGAAGTTAAATCAGTATTGTTCGTTCCAACAGTCTCTATGGAAAAACCCACAGAAAACAAAGAGTGAAGAAGGGGCAACGGGTATTCCTCAACAAAATCTTTTGAAATCAAATGTAACGCTTCTAAATCGACCAACATTTAGCGTTTTCTTCCTCGCCAATGATTTATAAGTGTCACTGTTGTGAGAGTTTTAGCGAAGTGTTTTACAACTATGGAAGCCTTCAGTCGGAATATAAATTTCGCGCATTCACAAAAGATTTCGGCTTAAAATTTGTTGCAAATTTATTGCTATTTGTAATGGTAGACAAGGATGAAGTAAATTTGGACGGTTTGCAATACAATGTTAATAGACCATCTACACAATAGATGGCACATAATGCACGAGCAGTTAAGAAATTACTGCAAATGTTGGTAGGGAAGGACGGGTTGAGAATAGGGGTCAACATTTATATATAGCAATTCTTATCATTTTCATGGCAATAAACATTTCGACGTATTAAAATTTTTGAAAGTTAATCTGACAGTGTGGCAAACAAACGAAGATGTGAAACACTAAATTAACGGTTGTGACTTGAATGTGGAAGATGTCGAAAAGTTAGAACAATCATCTCTCGCAAAATTTTAATTGAACGTTTCAAAAGATCGTAATTGTTGAAATGACGCAGAGGAGGAAGAAGAGACAGTAAGAATTCTTGTACACAATTTTGATGCTGCGAACAAAATTACAACATTAAGTGGAATATCAAAGCAGTTTGAAATTTATCTTGGAATTTCATTCCAATAACTCCCGATATGAAAACATGCATAACAAATATTTCAGCAAATGATCTCTTCCATTACTTCAACGTAGTACAAGTACAAATGCGGTGGTGCGTTTTGTGTTTTAATCCGGAAGAGTATTATCCGAATAAAATCTCGAAGCACTGCTGAAGCATTAAAAATAGAAATAACAGAAAGGAAGAGAAAAGGAAAGTAGTGTATGCCGTCTGAAATGATGACATTTCCTTGTATAAATTATGATCAGAAGAGTTTTAGTTAAGTTTCCGTCGCAAAAATTAAATTTTCAGGAAGTCATACTTCCTTGATTATCCTTGATGCCTATTTATTTATAATTCTTGCAGCATCTCAGGGAAAATAATTTTTTTTTTTTAATGAAAGCAGAGATTTTCTTTCCCTAGGAAGATTTTTTGCACCGATATGGTAATTAATATTATGAGGACCTTTTGTATCCTCTAGAACAAAATTCAAACATCAAATGTGCGAAATCATAATAATCATATTAATGAAGACGACTGAATGCATCTCAGGCGCTTTTATTCATTTAGAGCTTTCTCATTTACAATTTCCTCTATCCATCAATAGTAGATGCTTACTTAATCTGATTAGCTAGATGCAGCGCCTTTATTAGATAGATATGGCTTAAAGAAAGGCAATGTTTTGCGAAAAAAGTAGCGAACTTTTTTCTAATGAGTACAAATGCAATTGGCATTTTCTTTTCTCCTATTCTCTTGTTCAAGTAATGAATGGATTATAATAGCAAATAAACAGCTCATTTTATACCAAAGGAATTGTTATAGCATTTTAGATTTTTCACAGTACGCAAATACTGCGTAGCTCTCAGCAATGTGTTATATTAAATTCGGAAAACTTAGATATGTTTTATATTAAAATAACCGAACTTATTATGATGTTGTTTAATAATAAGTCCAGTTATTTTAATGTCTGAATCAATTAATCTTTAATGATACAAAGATAAAAAAAGTTCGCATTTAGCATCTTTTAAAAAATTACAAATAGTCAGAAATTATTTCTTTCTCTAAAAAAAATGCAATGTGTAGTGAAAGTAGTGAAAGTTTTTTGTTTGGACTGATGAGGCCTTTTTTGTAATTTGAGAGCAGAATCATGATTAAAGAAGAATTGCTTATTTTTATGAACGTTATAGAACAATGATCAGAGAAAATGAAATTAGAGTTGATCATCATACTGGTCTTCCTTACCTAACCATTCGGCAGGAACTGATTGACGAGACAAAGGAAATTTGCGTTGTTGATAAAAATAATTTTGGAGTTAATCTTCCTTTATATATTGCAATTGTTTACAACAATTTGCTATTGCAAATAAATTCCATTATCTGAATGGAAGTTGTTTACAATGTTCTAACCATTTCAAATAAGCATTTTAATTAGGTTGAATTCCGAAAATATCTTGGAAGGTAACTGTATAATTTTGAACATCAGTGATAATGATTTATTATCTTATTTATAACTTTCTAAGTTAAATTTAAGATTTATTGCTTTTAATCCAAATATTTACATTCTTATTCTAACCGTATCGAAATTTACATTTTTTGAACCATTTAAGTTAGCATTAGCAATACGCATGATGATTCCATGAAATTTTCGATTGATCTTAAATCAGATTACAATAGATCGGGATGATTTTCAAATCATTTTTCCTATACAAATATGGTCGATTGTCTGTGAAAGCGGAGTGTTTCATGCAAAATTGATTATTTCTGGAAACAAATATTTCTTTATTAAAAAATATTCATACATTTTGTCAGTTTGAAACAATGTAATCAGATCATTCTTGTTTAATGCGTTATAATGTTAAGCGATACTTGACAGTAATATGAACAGTTTATTTTTTCGATGTATAAATTTTTTTTTTTTTTGCTGATCAATATCATTTTTTGTGAAATTCTCAATTTCAACTTAAATTATTCATGACTTCATAGCACTTTAAAAAGAAAATTTTAGAAAATTGTTCTCATGTTCATTTTAGAAATTTTTTTCATCACCCATCTTGTAATGAAAGATTTGCAGCAAAACTGCCACCGTAGTATCATTTCAAGATCCATTCATAAGCAGTTCGATTTCTTGAAAGAACCAAAATATTGATTTTATCATTTCCGATACAGCACTGGCATACAATGATTATTGATATGTGATACTATTACTCTCATACATTTTCAACTAAACAATAATTTAGTAAACGAAACAAACTGTACAACCAAGCAAAATTTTCAGTGATACAATGAGATAGGAAGAAATTCCCTTACACAACTATTTACTTCCTTCCCATTTTCAGGAATCCAAGAAGATCTTAAAGCAACAAAATTTACAAATCTTGATGAATTAAGATTGAATTAATAAGTAGAATCAATTGAAATTTCAACAACTGATTAACTGAAACATTAATAATTGCAATGAAACACTGTTCAACACTAAATGTTGTCCGATCTACTTTAATTAGAGAAGATATTTTTTCGTTTCAAAGAAATTTCATTTTGAGGTGGTCGAAGCTGAACTCTCACTTATCATTAAAGAATCAAATGTTCTCTTAATTGTAAATAATACTTTAACAATTATTCAAAACTATCATTGCTTTGCTTTGCATTTATCTTAAAAAGTTTTGTCTTTTTCTAAAAGTAATTTATGTTAAATTATTTGAAAATGAAAATTTTGAATTTCGATTTGTTTCAAATTAATAAACAAAATTAAAAATTTGCGAAAATTAAGAATTTGTTAAATAAACGCTGAATAACTACATAAGGTTCCAATACTCGCAGACCTAAATGGAGAAGATGCCTCATTGTTTATATTGCCGTAATTATTGTATTTACATTTACATAATTATAGCTATTTATATTTCCAATATATTTTAATAAATTGATCCGATTAATTTAGTTCTGCTTCAGAAACTCACCAAATGAATTTATCTATTTGCAAAAAATGTGCATGTTTGCGAGAGAGTTTAAAACATAAATTTAGCGCCCAATCTCATCTGATATTTTGATCTGAAAATTGTAGCATTATCGAAGTAAACAAAACAATTGGACACAAACAAGGCATTAGTAGTCAATAAATGCTAATTTTGATGCCGACACCAGCTGTGAAATAATCCGTTCAAAAGCTGAAATGACAAATTTTTATAAAATCTTTATATTATTTCAAAGACTGTTCCAATTCGGATATAGTGCAATGATTTCAAAATCATTTTCGGTTTTTGTAGCAAGTAATTGAATTTCGACTTATTCTGATACTTTATTTTTTACTCATCTACTGCTTAAATCATTATGTTTCATACAGATAATATATTAAAGATCATCAATTGAATATATAGTTACAAATTATATTATTGGATAAGCAGAGATATGAATATACAATATTGCTTTATCATATGGTGAAAATGTTCAAGATTTTACTGCACGGAATTTTGAAACATATTGCTGGGAAGCAAAAATCAATTACATAAGTTTAGATTTTTTGGAAATGTGATGTTAAAATAACACTTCAAAGCAAACAATTCAAATTTATCTGTTTCAAGAAATTTAAATCACTGAAATCAAATTATTAGTGAAATTTAGAAATATTTCCAAAGATTGCAAGGTATCTATAGCATACCTCGTAATCAGTGGTAGCACATATAATTTTTTGACTTCAATCTCCGAACGGATTATTTCTCAAACTGCATAGCAATTACCAAAATTAAAAATTATTATTATAAATACGTTTCTATATTCAAGAAACTGGGCGCTAAAATAACATTCAAAATGATCAACAATAATTAACATGGATAATTTTTGCAATTGGTAAATTCGTTATGATAATTTTTGAGACAGCGATTGAATTAATCGGATCAATAGTTTTATCAGAATATAATACTTTTCGAAAATATAAACAACAACTTGATATAAATCTCATACACAAATATTCTGATCATTTATATTGTGAGTCTATATATTAACTTTTCCATATATATCAAACTTAACAAATTAAAAATTAATCGAAATATAGACGGCATGTTCTTTTCACTATTCTTGGCAATCATAATTGGAATTTTGTCAACAGTTATATTGGGCCAAAACGGTAAGTTTAGTTTGAATATACTATGATATTGCCGACTTTCTTATCATTAAGCAGTAAATAACTGATGAATTAATTATACGGTTAGTACTTCTCAGGATATATATGTGTATAGAATAAGAATGTAAATATTTGGATTGAAAGCAATAAATCGTAGATTTAACTTCGAAGTTATAAATAAGATAATAAATCATTATCACTGATCTTCAAAATTATAGTTACCCTCCAAAATATTTTCGGAATTCAACCTAATCAAAATGCTTATCTATAAATTTTTGACAAGTTCATAAAATACAAATGATTTGCAGGAACTCCTACACCAACAAACGCGTCAACAGCTTCTCCCGTGTCAACAGCTTCTCCTGTGTCAACAGCTTCTCCCGTGTCAACAGCTTCTCCCGTGTCAACAGCTTTTCCTCCGTCAATAGGTTCTCCTGTGTCAACAGCTCCTCCCTTCCCAATGGTGACAACAGCTTCAACTTCTGATTTAATGCAAGAATTAAAAACATCGATGATCAGTAGTACAGTTTCAAGTCCTGAAAATTTTTTCGTTTGCTGGAAGCTTTTATCATGTCCGTGGCATCCGCACCAACACTGCCATTGTCCGCCTTACGCACATATTTGTTATGGGCCCTATACGAAGCTAGTTTGTCCGAAAGGAATTCAGTAAGTCTTTAATTATTGCACTTCGAACCTAGTTGGACTCTCTGAAATAACAGCTAATAATACTTACTTTATAATTTTAACAGCTATTAATATTTATTTTATAATACTTATGTCATTTTCAGCAATGGAGGAGAGGTCGGCAGTAATCTGTGGTGATGATTTTAAATGCCTCGTGAAACAGTTTAATTTGAAATTGAATTTGCTGTAATGATTAAGAACTTTTCATTTCATTCAATGGATATTTAAACCGATGCATTAGCGGATAAGTGAACATTTGAAGAACAGTGGGATAAATAGCTACCATTAAGCATATGCTGTCTAGCATTCATTATTATCACTAACAACTTCAACCAATTTAAAAATAAAATTTCTTTGAAACGAAAAAATATCTTCTCTAATTAAAGTAGATCGGACAACATTTAGTGTTGAACAGTATTTCATTGCAATTATTAATGTTTCAGTTAATCAGTTATTGAAATTTCAATTGAAATATTTAAAGCGACTTGCAATGTAAATCGAGGCGAGAAATAACTGCTTACTTCTACTTATTAATTCAATCTTAATTCATCAAGATTTGTAAATTTTGTTGCTTTAAGATCTTCTTGGATTCCTGAAAATGGGAAGGAAGTAAATAGTTGTGTAAGGGAATTTCTTCCTATCTCATTGTATCACTGAAAATTTTGCTTGGTTGTACAGTTTGTTTCGTTTACTAAATTATTGTTTAGTTGAAAATGTATGAGAGTAATAGTATCACATATCAATAATCATTGTATGCCAGTGCTGTATCGGAAATGATAAAATCAGTATTTTGGTTCTTTCATGTCACTAAACTGTAATGATGCGTATTGATGTGCCAAAGCTGAAATAAATAAAAATTATGTTTATAAAGGTTGTAAAAATTGCATTTATCTTTCAATGAATTGCTCAACTTTTCACAGAACACACCATATTAATTCATATCACTATTAACAAAACATGTAAGTAATGGATGTGTAAGAGAAATGTGTACTTCAAAGTTCTCTTTCTAATTAATAATACAGAGACATTTGATCTGTCTGTTAACAATAAGAATAATCTACAAGGAGTTGATTCTAATTTCGGTTACTAGATCACTATCACTTCCTTGATATATTTACATCTTTTAATCATCTCAAATAGGAATTCCCAAATTCCGTGAACATAGTGCTTGCAGGTATGACATTCGGAAATGCAAAAACGTGCTAATAAAATTCAAAATGCCCCTTCTTTTATGAAACATTGTTGTGCACTGGATGGATTGCAAAGTATTGCATTGTGTGCTGTAAACAACAGCTACGGCCGTATGTTCTTCGGCTTCTGATCTTTTGTTTCTTGTTCGGAGTGCTCGGTGTGGTATTGTCCGTGGCTGTCGTAGTGTAGTCGCACGTCTGCGTCACATAACCTTGTGGGTATTAATTCAACGCATTTCTTCCTTATCTTACTTGTTTCATTTATCTGTGTTACGGTAATTCACGTATTTGATACTATGTTACTTATGCCATTTGGCTAGCTGCACCATGCTTCAGTTGCAGAACTGGTTATTATGTTTGTTATGGGTATTTCAAAATTATGTGGTTGAATATACTCTTCGTAGATTCTTGTTTTCAGATTGCTTACTCACTGAATCAAATTACTTACTCGTCATTGAATACATAAGATTTTAATAATGATACATAAGACATCATTGAATACATAAGAGTTGCTTAATCTTTATTATTGCTTGTCAATCACGTCATGCTTTGTGCGTTTTATGGTAAAAAATTTTGATTGAAAATTCAGGTACTTCTTGGAGAAAGGAAATGGGGCTCTCAGATAATGATGTGCAGAAGCAACTACGACATATGATCGCATTCATTGAGCAAGAAGCGATTGAAAAAGCAGAAGAAGTTGACGCAAAAGCGGAAGAGGAATTTAATATTGAAAAGGTAAAAACTATGACATCTTTTTTTTATGATTTAATCGAAATGCGAAAATAAATTAAATATTAAGAAGTTCTAAATCCTTCTTTTTTCGGCTTGATTATTCAAAGTATAAAGCGTATTGTCGTTGTTATGCCGCAATAAAGTGGTTTGATGTTTGATTGATTATGGATGTTTCATTATAAGATACATGTCTCGTTTGAGCAATAGTCATACGAGTAATCATTCTATGAAAATAGCGTGTGATTATAAAATGATTATTTGAACAAATTCGGTTTAAAATTTTCCATTTATACGTAGTTTCTAGGGCCGCCTTGTTCAACAACAGCGAACAAAGATTTTGGAGTACTATGACAAGAAAGAGAAGCAGGTGGAACTGCAAAGAAAAATTCAGAGTTCGAACATGCTCAATCAGGGACGCCTAAAGTGCTTAAAAGTAAGAATGCAATTTGGTCTTTTTGGCTTTTGGTTATAACATATTCCAGGAAATAATTGGAGAAGTTATTCTGAGAAGTATTAAATAAAGTATATTATTTTGTTTGGAGTATGGACGGAAATGGTTGCCATTTACATTATGATATTATCACCGCATTTAATATTTTCATTTACAGGCACGCGAAGATCATCTGAATAAAGTTATTGAAGAGGCGCGCTTGAATTTAAGTCGAATTTCTGGGGACTCCACTAAATATCCATCAATCTTAAAAGGCTTAATTCTGCAGGTATTTTTGTTTTTCTCAAATACAATTTGATTTAGAATTTTTGCTTGTGAATCATCGAAATAGTATTCTAACTTTTGTAGGCATTATTCCAATTGTTGGAAACAGAAGTTACATTACGCTGCCGCAAAAAAGATGAACTATCAGTGCAAAAACTTTTGCCGGAATGTCTCGACGAACTTGAGCAACAGTGGGGTGAACGCACAAAGGTTTTTTTTTTTTTTCTCTATATTGATTTATGAAGAATAGTGATCTTATTTGTTCCTGTTTTTCTTAAGCATGCAAATATATCTTTCTTATTGTGTGTTTTATTGTGTTTAAAGTTATCAGGGTTTTAAGGAGTATAATGTTTCAATCTCTTTTGCTTTGCAAAGGGTATTGTACGTCCTCTTTAGGTGAGAATTGACACGAGCGAATATTTGCCGGATGAAAGTGCTGGTGGAGTAGAACTTTCAGCGAAAAATGGTAAGATAAAAGTTTCGTCGACATTGGAATCTCGTCTAGAATTGATTGCTGCTCAGGTAAGTCAATATTTTCGGAGCAGAAGAATAGATTCAACTCCATGGCATTGTAAAGATGGATTTATATAATGCATAGTAACGCCCGAACTTTCTATTTCTTTTAGTTTCATATTAGTGTCGTTTTGTAGCTTAATATAACCATATTTTGGATAATTGAAATATATTTAAATCATAATCTTTAAACTTTTTAATCGCTGTAGTTTTGTCTAATGGAGAAAAATTATTGCAGATTATACCTCAAATTCGTGTAGCTTTGTTTGGTGAGAATCCAAATAGAAGATTCTTTGACTGAAGCATTCGATGTGCAGAACTGACAAAAGTGAGAATGTTGGCACTTTCCTTAATATTCAAAATGTTCCCTGTGATAGTTTGTGATTATTTTCCACTGTTTAAACACTCGTGATTATCATATTGTGTAGCCGTTATTGATTTCCTATCTTATCATCAGCAGAATGGTTGTAGTATATGTTAATTCCACGTCGAGATATGCCGTGCTTCATATATTAGTTGTGTATAAGTGAAAAGAATTTCTTTTATATGCTATAAAATGAAAACGTAGTGTAGCTTGGAGGAGAACACCGTATCAGGCACTTCTTCATTGATATGCTGCTACTGGATCTTTTATTTGTTGCTGACAAGCTTATCATCATTTAAAATCATTCATTTAATCTTTTTAATCATGTCCAGTCATTGTAATTCATAGCATTATTAGTGTTATATAAGTCAGAGTGAGGCTGGTGGTAAAGACAGTGTTTCCTTTTCGCTGTTACTTTCCTTCTTTGTCGAAATATTTCAAACATCGAAATGAAATACTTGTAAGTACTTGTAATAAGCAGAAGAATGAATGTTGGGTTTTGAAAGTAATTGTAAGGAATTAGTTACGCAATTCGCGTTGTGCTTGACTGCATTAGTTAGGCACTTTATTTTGAACTAGATAAAACAGATTTAGAATAAACAACTGAAGAAATCAAAATTGGAAGAAAAAAATTGTGAAAGTGCGAGTTCTAACCTGGGTATTGCGTATACCATAAATTTGAAGTATGACCTCGGAGCCTGGATTTGTCGGTATAAAGTTTTGTCCGGAATGGTAAGTTCTTTATCTGGATTTTAAATGGATTAAGAGGTGGAAGTTTGATTGTGGGGCAAATATTTGCATCCAATTGCAATGAATAATAAGCTCACTTTGAATTTGAGTATCCGAAGCAATGCATCTATATTATTTGATGACTTATGCCTTATTTGATGAAATTTATTTCAGCAATAATATGTTATATCCAAAAGAGGACAAAGAGAATAGGCAGTTGTTATATGCATGTCGGAATTGTGATCATAAACAGCTTTCCGAGAATCCTTGCATTTATGTCAACAAATTAATGCATGAAGTGGAGTAAGTTTCAGTCTGGACTTAATATTGTGTTTTATTGTTAGTAAGATGTTAGCTTTGAAAAATCAGATTTGATTCACATATCTCCTCACTTATCTGATATTTACTTATGCATTCTTTTATTTTTAATCATTTTGAGTGAATTAACTCAAATTGTGGCTGATGTTGTGCATGATCCAACATTACCGAAAACCGAGGATCATCCCTGTCCAATGTGTCGGGGAAGAGAAGCTGTATTTTTCCAGGCCCAATCTAGGAGAGCTGAAGTATGTTTCGATTAGTTTTTTTTTTTTTTTTTTTTCACATATTCATATGCTTTTTTTAGTCATAACTTCAATTACATTTTGGTTGGAATTTGTCACCAGGAAAGTTCTTTTTAGGAAGAGATGAGATTGTATTATGTTTGCATGAATCCAACTTGCGCACATCGATGGACTGACTGAAATTACAGTCAATTATACAGTGGTCGCCATTGTTATAAACTCCTGCAGTCGTTTCGTATTGGATTCAAGATTTCTATTTCTAACATTTTTATAATGTTGATTACATAGTAGTTGATTGGCTTTTACGATTGTTATTACATTACATATCATCACTTTTCATTTCTTGTTTCTGAAATGTAGAATTTAGGTATAAGACACACAGTTCATTGAAAAATTTAGTGATACTGATATTAGATGTGGATACTTCACACTTTTTTCCTGAATTTTTCGCATTTATTTATTTGTATTAATTTCCGGTTTTTGTATATTGCGTTTATTGAAATATAAAATATCATGTTTATATTTTGGCTCCTTACTAGTTGATTCGCGATTGGCTATATTTATTTTCCTTTCATCTGAAATAAAGTGGAAGAAAAAAATAGATAACTGTGGGTGTGACTTTCAGAAGCACTTAGAACCATAACAGAATGTAGTTCCAAGTTTTCTTCGAATGGTCGTGTTAAAAAAAGTGATGTAACTAATCAAAAAATGCAGAAAACGTTTCTGATACAAACTTAATTCATAAATCATGCAGCTGGCGGTTAGACTTGAATCGAAGTGATGTTGAAACCAAAAGCATTAACCGAAGTACTTGGACAGGTGAATACGCCAAACACGAAAAGTGGTGCTCTCCTGCTGAATCGTGAAGGTAATTGATTTGAAAAGTACTTTTTGTTTGGGCAGTATGTAATTGAAAACAAGTGAGTAATGAAAGCATAATGAAAATGACAATAAAGATATAAGATTATATGTTTAGGTTGATGAATTTGCTTCTTTTTTAATAGAGATGTTGATATGCACTACCAGTTCCAGGTTTACTGCTAGCCTACAGTGGTTATGATAGTGTTGGAGGAAATGATGCAAATGCAACCGTATCTGCTGCTTTGATTTCCAATATTTGGGAAACTTTCGAGAGACAAGGTTTTTTTTTCTAATAGTTGCAAATTTCAATTAGAAATTTTTCCTTAAATAATTGGACGTGATGACTGAACAAGCTAATTATATTTATGTAACAACTTATAATGATAAATCGCTTCTTTCCATTTTATTTCATTGTGCGGTTCAATTTTACTAGTCTTTGGGATTTTATCTTACGTTTTTTGCATTTGTTGTTCGGTAAACCTTAGATTCTCCTCTATTACAAATAAATGGTATGAAAACTACGCATTCAGGAGGAGTGATAGAATACCGTGGAATCAAACAAGTGAATAGTGAGGAAACTAGTGCGTTATGCACTGTATTTAATGTCATACTATTTTCTAGGAGTCAGAGAAAATTTAACGGAAATGTTGCTAGAATGTGAAAATGGGGTGATTGCCGTCACACGTATAGCCAACATGCTTCTAGCAATAAAAGTAGGGAGTGAAGTACCACTTGGCCTGCTTAGGGCAAAACTTCGTGCACTTGCCGAGTACCTTTATACACCACTAACTGTTGTTTCTTCTAAAGATTGACATAAAATCTGCTCGTTAGTTCTTTTAAGTCTAAGTTTTCGAGTTGTTGTTTGAGGTATCTCTTTTGATCATAAATCAAGTACGGTGGATATGAATTATGAGACTCATTCTTGGCTAAAATCTTTAATTTTACCTAACGATATACATAAAAGCATGACGTGAGCCTCTTCTAATAATCTTCATCTACTGTTTTAGGCATTCTTCATTTATGTGTTTAATCCGGAATTTGCATTAGTTTTGTTGTTTGAGCATAAATTATGTAATTTCGTTATATTGCTTATAATTTGTAAATATTGAAAGACTGTGTCATGATTTTATGATAAAGAGTTTGATTTTGGTGCAGAGATTTTACTACGCTGTTACACTTCCATTACTTCATGCTTGGTAATCGATTGATTAGATTTATGTAATTTTGCTTTTATTTTTATTATGAAAAAGGAAAAGGGATTTTTCAAAACTTTTTATCACGAAATTGGGTTCTTGTATTTTATAAGTTTTCATCAGTCTCTGCTGATAGGTAGTTGACGAATTGGTTTCTATTAGCTAGTCATATCTACTAATTTAGTTTTTTGGAAAACCTTTTATATGTTATGTTGCATTTATTGTGTTATGAATGGGTGCCGTAATTTAGCATGATTTAGTTTGCAAAAAAAGAAAGTTATATTGATGAATCAGTCAAAAATCGAAATTTCCTTGCAATATCAGAAATATGCAATGAATGGATAAAAATAAAGTGATGACCTGGTTGTGTAAAAAAATAAAAGGGAGTTTTGTATAAAGAAGTCTCAAGATCTATTTAGAAGAACGTGAATCTCATGAAGTTTTTCAATTCAGAGATGATTCGAAGTTAATTTATGTTGTATTTATGTTTATTATAGTATTCTCGCACTGACCTTTGAATCAAATAAAAAAGTAACTGCTTGATATATATTAGTTGGTGCTGAGTAGAAGAAAATATCCCATTGAAGGAAGAAATTTCGTTTAACTTATTGATACTATAAAGCAAGACAAGTGGTCTTAGCATTGCAAAAGTGGTGGTGATGGTGGTGGATGCGCTTAATTGGTAATAAAGGCAGTTATTTCCAGTGATCATTTATTTATGATTTTGTATAAGAAGAATGTCCACATAGCAAAGTTATTGCTGACATAAAAATGAGTATGAAAGTGCGGCTAGGAGGACAAGTGTTGTTGGCACTCCTAATCGACAATGGATGGTAGAGGAAGGATCAAATTTTGCTGATGAATTCTCTGACTTTTTATTATTATTATTATTACTATTAAGATGGAAGGAAATTAAATAGTGTTAGTCTAAACTGTTATTCTAAAAAATGTGTCTAGTGTTACTTTAAATTCTAAAATGTGTTTGGTTATCTGGTCCAAAAGATAGAAAATCCCAGGTATTATTTATTTCATTTCTATATTTAATGAATTTTCACTTTTTGGAAATCATTATACTGCTTAAAATGTTTTTGCATTGCGAATTAGAATTATAGAAATTAGAGGAGGCAAATTCGAATTTATGGATTCATAAATAGAAATTAAATATTTTCAAGGTATGTATCAATAATCATCAAATGCACGTCTATTAGGTAAGTTTATTTCATTTCTTAATATAAGCAACATTTATTGCAAAGATGGTACTCCAGAATCTCACTTTAATGTTTTCTAAAATTAGGGATAATGTATTTAAATAAGCTTTTAATACTTTACTTTAAGAAATCATAGCAGTTTTATCACTGAGGAGCATAAGAATGTTTTCCCTTATATTAAAAAATTTAAATAGTTTGTTGTCTGATTAAACGTAGATATTTTTAATAATGGAGTATCTTCTAAGGACATAAATTTATGTTGCAAAATATACGATTGCATTGTTAAGGTGTTATTACCACTATCATGAGATGAGATGATTTGATGTGATAAATAGAACACCTTTTGACTCTCCCCAGTATATCGATTAGCTATTATGTAGTTAGAAATTCTGTTGTGAAGCAAGAAGTATTGTGTAGAAAATACTACAACAGTAACTGATAGCTTTAAAAAAAAACATGTATAGTCCCATTTGTAACGAAGAGTAACTTCATGTGTCAGTAATGACATTTTTAGCATAAAATATTTACACAAATGAGACTCGGCGCAACATTATTGATATAAAAACTTTTGTTGCCATTTACCCTTATATTTGTACGACAAAAAATATTTCCTGTTGTCCTAAAGTCACCGATGTTAGCAACTAAAAAGGTCGAAGTGTTTTCAAATGAGTTATGTCACGAAAATCTTCCTCTGAAATCTTAAAATAAAAATCAACCAATATATGAAATAAAAGGAGAAAAAAAATAACAAAATAGAAATAATCATTTATTTACTTTCTATTAAGTTCAATGTCAATTTATTGTGTTGTTATTGATAAGGGACTGATTCAAAATTCATTATCAGTGTTTGATTTCAAAACATTTTTGTTGATAATATTAGCAATGGTTAGTGACTGATGAAAAGTTGTATTACAGAACAGATAAAAAAAATAGCGAATTAAGTAATGAATGTATCACATCAGTCAGTATATATTATATGTACGTATATTCCTTGTAGTAAGATAAGTTGATCGGTTCCTGTTCTTCGATTCGGATTTATGTATTTTGAGCCTTCAAAGCGGTTGAATTTTTTTTCCACCAAGAAAGATGAATTTATTCGAAAACGAAGAGTAAATCGATTAAACCTTTATTGAGGTCCACCACCACCACCCTGTTTCATTCGTGCCTGAGCTTCCTTAATATAAGGTTCCAGAATTCCCATGTGATAGGCAACACCGAGGCCAATTAAAATGAGTAGAAATAGAATCACAGCTGCACCCATGTTAAATGTTAAATGTTTGCTTTTTTCAATGTGACCTGTAATTAAAACTATTTTATCGAATTTATGTGAGCTGAATGCTCAAGAGAATTAAATAATCTGTTCGCTTAATAGTTTTATGCAACTTTTCTTACTTTTTCACTCGAAATGTTAGTTTCAGGTCAAGAGAAGAAGACTTGCTCTATTTATTAAATACCTTCTTGTTAAATGATTAAAACAAACACTAGTCTGCTGTGATCATCTATACTTATTTTATAAATAAATGATTAAGCAATTTTAAATTTGCATAACTCAATGATTTCACACACTTCGTGAAAAAGTTACAAATTTCTGTTGATTTATTCAAATTTTAAATGCAAAAAAGTGATAAGAATATTTTCCACCTTAATTTAAACATATGATAAGAGAGATTGAGCACTCGAACTTATTAAATAGTAGATAAAATAATACACGGAGATTTGGAACACTTTAAGTGCGCATATTTATTATTTCTCTCTTTTAGGAAGTGATGAAATTTTTGATAATGTTTAAGTGAATTGTCAGTTGTTCTCTGCACGGTACATTCTTAAATCAATCATCATGTTTTAGAATATTCTACTGTGATTGTTACGGTTACAGATGAATGCTTGAAATGATTTTACTTGTCGCACATAAGTTGGATGCTTCAGAAATCCAAGTAGTGTTTGATATTTTGATGTTATAAGGACTTTTTTAGAAAAAAAAAGTCAACTAAAGAATGTTCCGTCCAAATCTTGCAGTCGAAAAAGTACGTTTTCTTTCTGATATTGTCATCTCCTGCGAGATTTGTGATTTATCATATGCCTAAAAGTTAATTACATACATTCTTTCTAATTAACAGCCATGAAGTTTCAATATTTAAATTTTAGACTATTAAAAGAATCAATTTTATTTTCGGTATTGGAGAAGTTTAAGGAAATATTATTTATCCAAAAAATTCAATAACCGCTGTTTGTTTTAATCATTATTATTCATCGATTTAACAGCTGTTGATATAGACAAGTTCAAAATTAATTGCAGTTAAGTTTAATGATCTAAATTAAATTCACCTTTATCTTTACACATTTACCTAATCTTGCTAGCTCTGTGTTTATTAGTAACGAAAGCGCTGATTCGTGTTGACCACTCAATGCCATTTGAGTTTGTTTCACTTTGATTTTTATTGCGAACAAAACTGAATTATCTTTTAATTGTTACTACCAAGTCTAGAATTTCATAATTTAAATCTAAAAGAAACAATTTATGATTAATATCTTTCATTTTAATTATTAGATTATTCCTTACAATGCCAATTTTTCTTTTTTTTTTTTTTTGCAAATAGATTTAAATGAAAAATATTTCTCTTCCTTTACTTTTCTTTCTTGGAGAAAAAAAGTAATAAGTAATAATTTTTCCGTTGCAATGATTAAATTATATAAGCAGTTTTTATATAAACCATAGATTGCTTTTTTTTAATTTTCATAATTAATTACAGAACTCTCATACTCATTCTGAAATCGAAGTAAATTTCAAACGTTTCAATCCGAAATTTTATATATGATTTTTATTACGCCAGCTGATCGCATTTTGATGCTAAATTCTTCTAAAATCTATTGTTTAGTAATCAAAAGGATGCTCGCTACCTGTGAGATTGAAATCATTTTTAAGTACCGTTATCAAAATCCTTATCCCATTTTTTTTTTTACTTTTTTTTTGAATTTAGAATTTTAAGACCGTCCATAATTCCATTTTAAGGAAAGCATATGTAGAATTCTAGAAATATTCAAGGATTTTGCATTGAAATAGTCCAGAATTCCAGAAATAATCGTAATCCTACATTACAGTTCAGAATTATAAAGATGGTCAAGACAATTTAGAATCTTTGTGAAAAGGACTTCAATTTTACGAATAACACCACCATAAGAAAAGGATTAAAAAGAAAAATATTATACCAATCTGACTTTATTATTCTCCAAAAATTTTATTTGAAAATATACCAATTAAAAATGACTAAAATCTCATCGATATGTACTTCTAATAACTACGATAGAGTTGACATTGAAATGGTGCTTATGCGACGAAATAAACCCAATGATAATATTTGTCCCCAACTCAATTTTTTGGTGAAAAAGACTTCAATTTTGCAATTAACACCACCGTAAGACTCACAAAATTTCTAATGTGGTAATAAAGCTTCAAAAATAAAACGAAGATTATTGGAACACTTTTACTCTGTTTTTCCCCCAAAACTTTGTTGATAACACATCAATTAAAAATGACTTAAATCTTAACAAGCGACCAAATCCTTATTTAATGAAGAATCTGTACACATACCAGAAAAATTGGCAACACTTTCCTGCTTATTTCATTGATAAGTGAAGTAGACTTTGTCTGACATTATCCCTTGTTGAATTCAATTTTACCTTTTACATTACATGGCTCTGACATGAACGGCAAAAAACAAATTACGCAACAAAACTGACTTTTGTCAGCTCCTGCTTCATGATTTCTCTATCTCATTTTTTAATTTTATTGGATTATTATCAGCAGAAATATTAATAAAATTTGTCATACTAAAACTGAAACTGCGATCAAATTATATCATTCAAAAATAACAGATAACTATAAGTGTGGAAAAACGACTGAGAATAGAAAAAAATCATTGCTAAAAACTATGCTAACAATACAGAACCGTTCAATAATAGTAATGAAGTTACTGTAATACAGAACTTGAGCATTTCCAAGAAACAACAACATAAAAACATTCAGAAAAAACTAAAACTATCATTATTAAACACAAAAAAATCCCAACACTGTTTTGTAAGATATGAAAACTATAAATAAATATATATATAACAAAATGAGAAATTCGAAACAATTAGTTTTGTTATACACTCAAACACAAAACAAAACAAAACAATGCCGAAGCATTAAAAAACAATTTAAAAATATCGAAAGTTGAAACATGAAATTACATCCTTTATCAATGAATCCCGTCAAATCTATCATTATTCGGTGTCACAATTTTTTTGTTGTGAAGAAATCCTCCAGTTTCTTCCTTACATTGTCGAATTCGCCATTGCTGTATTTTGTATTCCAAGTCCATAAACGTTCTAATGACTCTATGTCATTGGCACTACCTGAGGGAAGTAAATAAGACAGCTAATTTAAAAACTTCATCGGAAATTTGAAAACCATAAACTGAGAAACAAATCCTTTCAATATTAAAAAAATAGTTAAGATTTTCGCGCTATCCATCTAGGCCGAATAAACCGTAAATATAAAAGTTTCAGTCGTTAACTGATTAAATAAATGATGTTTCCAAGCAGTGATTTTACAATGATGCATACACATACTTGCTATCTCAAACCAGACATCTTGGGTCAGAAATATGAGTCCTCGGAGCTGCTCAACATTAGCTCTGAACTTCTTCATTTCCACTTTTTGTTTTCGATTATAACGTGGTTGCCAAGCCGCTAGTAGTGATCGGATATAACATTTGTGAGTTAACTCCTCAAAAAATTTTCCAGAATTTCATCTCTCTTATTTTTAGAGGTCAAACTTCCAAAACTTTTATAAACTGGAGTGAAAAACTATTAAATTAAACTGGCTTTCAAATTCAAAACTTGCTTGAGAATCTTTCTTTAAACCACTTTCTTTCTGTTTCTGTTGCGAACATTTTTGAGTGTTCCTATTTTCTTCCAGTAAAGCAGTCAGCAAAACAGTTGCAAAATCTTCAACATAAGGCAAATTGTCCTGAAAATTTCAGAATCAGCTGCAATTAAAATGGTAAATAAAACGGTTTAGAGTTTTGACCTAATAATCTAAATAGGAAAAAATTCAGTAACAATCGTCAATATCAATTTTTAGGCTTAGTGAAAAAAAAATTCAAAATTTTAATGAAGGAGTATACCAGATCACTCTGCATACGGAGGAGGGGCTCTCTGAAATGACGTCCAGATATTTTCAACTGAAAAAAGAATAAGTAAATAATATTAATTGCGGACTTTTACGATAAAAAAGAATAAAATACAGCATAAGATGTTTCAGAATACATACAAACCCTTTTGAATATCAGCTCCGCTTCGGAAGCCATATTCGCTTTTAACAACTCCACAACAAGTTCAGCAAGACCATCATAAAAAGCACCAAATTCATCAAGTTTATCCAAAATATTTCCTGAATTCATCCTCATGAAGCATATGAATTAGGTTATTTATAAATTCAAGAAAATTCCCACCTAATACAATTGTAGGCTAGACAATATAACAAAATTTCTTGGTTATTACATCCCACAAAAGTATAGAATAAGGTTAAAAGCGTGGTGCTTGTCGACAAGAAAATGGCTTTCTACACTTTGAACAATTGACCTCCATTCCATATAATGATAGAGGGTAATGTGCAAATAAGAAGCGTAAATGGTCACTAAAGATGAAAAAATGTGTTGTTTATGTCTGCAGTGTACTTCATTTTCTGGTTGTTATTGAGGATTTAAGCAAGTAACAATCTAAGTTAACTTATATGTAAACAGTATCCCCAATTTAACTTCACTTTTAGAATAATCTATCCACAATTTAGATTTAAAGGATTCCTCAGCGCTGGAAGAATATAAACAAGTACCACCAATATGAATAAGACATGGTACCTTATATGATTCTCGATCAAGCAATGATGAAAATTTAAGAAAAATAAAAATAAAAGTTCAGCTCACGAAGTCTTTTCCCTTGAAACATATCATTCAGATTTTTTTCCAAAATAGTATGTCTTATAAGAAGATCACAACCCGCACCAGTACGATATTTCTGAGCGTTTTTATACCATATATTGAAAGCCGAATTAAAACCACCACTACAAATTAATAAATTATAATCAAATAGTGCATCAACACTGGAAAGACCAAATGTATAGACACTAGTTATTTCGAAAAAAGAACCTCCGCAGATAAAATTCAACAACAGCACGCAAATAAGCACAAGAGCTACGAAGAAAGCCTAAGTCAATCAATA